TTTTTTTTTTTTGTTTGTTTTGTTTTGTTTTGTTTTGTTTTTTTTGGCAAATCTCCTGGCTTTATCCTTCTTAACAAATTCTAACCTTGACCAGCCCTCAGACAGGAGAGAGCTGATGCAGGAACCAGAATCCCATGGGTGAAAATTCCAGATCATGCAAGTATCAGAAGGTCTGGCTGCTGTCCTGGAATACACAGGAAGATAAACCAGGAGAAATAAGATATATGCAAAACAGGAGGAGAAACTCCAGCAACTGGGACTTCAGACAGCAAAAAAAGTGTCTTTGGAAGTCCAGCAGTGATTTGGTGCTAGCCTTGAACTACCTCTAAAAAATTATTTTTGTTGTAAAACTATAACAATAAACAGCAGCAAGACTGTTACTATAACTGGTGGTGGTGTAACCAGATCCCTGTCTATTATTAATTGCTTTAGCATCCCATTTGAATTGATCTGTTTGAACTTGGCTTCATCCTTTTGGCTCCTGCTTTGCCTGGGGAACAAATGAAATGTGTCCCTAAAATCAGTGGTAAGCAGCAGAGGACTCCAGTGAAGAGACTGTTCATGCTGAGAGCTGCAGTACCCAGGAGTTGTGCCTCCCAGAGGAGCTGTAGCCATCTACATGTGCAGCATGTGTAATACAAGTGGCTGAAATGGATGTCAGGCTCTGCTGTGAGGAAGGAGCATTGTGTTGTAGGAAGAGGGCCATGCATTTCCTTGGTTACTTGCTGTGTTTAACCCCGAGTCTTTCCACTGGCTTTTAGACACAGACAATGCCCAAATATATTTATATTTACTGTGATGTGGGTGTCCTTCTTGTACCTTGTGAAATAAGACCTGGTAATGCCTGTTGTTTTAGTTCCTCTGCAGTCTGGCCGTGGAGTGCCTGGCAGGAGCTGGATGCTGCAGCTCCTCTCCTTTTTCTTCCTCCTGTAAAACACTGGTTTATGTCTGGCAGTGGCTGAACACTACTGAAAGACTAAGCAGTATAGACAGGGACAGATTTTGAGTCTACAGCTTTGTGTGGCTATTCCAGAATTTCCATTTCTTATATCAAACATTAGTTCTTGCCTGTAATAAGCTGAGAATGGTTGGGAATGTGCATTAGTTCACACTTGTTTCACTCATCCTCAGCTGAACAGCCTAAACCAATATTTCCAAGAGGTGTGAATAGGAATTTTTATTGCAATTACAAATCACTCTGAAAGCTGTTCCTGGTGATGACAACAAAATTCCTCATAGTGAGGAGTGGGTGGGAATCTTGCCTGGATCCCAAACCAGCCCTTCCAGGTTTGGAAGAGGACAAAACCAACAAAATGCCAGCTTGTTCAGCCCTACCTGCCCCTTCTCCTAGAATGAAGAAGAAAATAATTCAGTATGCTTTTTGAGAAATGCACATTTTCAGAAATAGGCTTTTGGTATGTGGTCTGGTGGCAGCTCACAAAATCTGCCTACAGCATCCCCAGTCCAAATGTGGCACTGAGTTTTATGTGCTGCAATCTCAAAAGGTTTGGGGAGTGAATGAGCACAGTGGAATTTTTGAAATGGCCAGTCCTTTGCGTTTAAGCTTTTGGATAAAACATAGACTTTTCTGGAAATGGTCTGTTTTATTTCCATGCTTGTACCTTAAACTTGCCAGGTACAGCGGGGCTTGGACATTTGAATGGTGATTTCTTTCCTATCAGAAAGAGTAGGAAAGGGTGGGTACCTGGGAGTACATGGATGGCCAGATCCATCCTCTCTGTGCTCCTGCTGGCTTTGGAGCCAAACCAGAGTTAACCACAGGCAGGATTTTTTTTCCCAGTGCTGCCTCTGGAAAAAGCAGTGACAGCCCTTGACCATGTAGTAGGAGTCCCACCAAGATGAAGAGTTTTCCATCCTCCTATTGCATGTGCAATCCATGCTACACTGGTATCTTGGAATCCCAGCATTCCAGGCTCCTCGTGGTGTTCTCCCTGCTGCAATTTGTAGTGGAATTAGGTGTGTGTTGGACAAGACACCATGGGTGCTTTCATTAGCTATTCCCCTTTCAAGATAAGTCTCAAGAAGGCTCATTTTGTTAGGGTGAGCAGGATCAAAATTCCAAATTCTATGGCTTCCTGACTGGAAACTCCTTTGAAGTGTGGAGAATTGTTTTGCCTCTGTATTGTCATTTGAACTGGAAATGCCAAGGAGTCAGGATTTTGAAGTGAGTCAGACTTGGTGCAAATAGAGAAAGCTGAGTGTCTTCTCAACTGTTGTTGGGGTTTTTTTGAGTTGTTTTTTGAGTTGGCAAGGTAGATTGTGGATGTATTTCTGTTGGACTCATGCAGTACCATGGCTGTAAGACTGGAAATGAGAGTGAGTGTACTGTCACAAACTTAATTTCACAGAAGAAAAGCATGGTGGGGTTTTGTCCAGTTGCCCAAATTGTGATTGTTCAGCTGATAGTGCACATGTGTGCATGTTTTTCCCCTATTTGCATATTTTAGCATAATTAATTTTTAAACTTCTGCTACTTCTAAATAGCTGATGTGTAACCAGGTAAATTCGGTATATTAACCTTTTCCTCTGTGCCTTGGCCAGCAAAAAGCCACTATTTTCTACAAACAAGTCCTGTTTTATGTGATGAGAGTACATGAACTCGTGTGAACTAACTCTTCAGTCTTAGAAGAGCAAAAAAGAGAAACCTTTTCTTACAGGCCTCTTAGTTTCTATAAGGTGGGTTACATTACAAAGTATCAGCATTAATTTAGTTCAACAGCAGGAATAATTTTTTGCATTTATTATAAAGATTGCTACAATTCAGATGAGATAATTGTCTGTTGCTGGGTGGTAAATATTGATTTCCCTTCCTGCAGCTGTGCTAAGCAGAACACATTAAAACCCCCACAAACCAAACCAAAGCAAACCCAAATCAATCACCTGGCTGTGCCCTCCATCTGGAAACACCTGTGAGACCTCATTTAGCTTAATCATAATCACACCTTCAGTCTGATAATGCATCTGCCAGGTGAGCCTCAGACATCAAACCAGCTTCAGGTTCATTCCTGATCTTGTGTGTCCCACATCCCATGTCTGCCTGATCCATCAGAAAAAGGAGCTGGTAAATTTTGAACATGAAGGCAACAGCTTTTCAGAGCCCAGGGCTGTGATAGCTGTCTCTTAAGGGCTGTTGCTGGAGAAAAGAACTGCTGAGAAGTGTTTGATTTTACAGCAAGGCAGCTGTAAATAGCCAGGGGTTTAAAAGTTCCAGTTATTTACAAGATAGAAGCCATCCTCTTGGGATACTTCTTGTGCCCTCTGTGCTCACTGTAGATTTTTACAGTACTTTAAACAAGGTGAAGTTTGTCCCTTGATTGTTTTCAGGGATATGGAGCAAAGTGCCACTTGGGTTCTGGGGCAGAGAGGGAACCCAGATCCTTCAGCACTCCCTGCTGTGACAGATAAAAGTCTCTCCATAGTTTTGAGGTGGGGAACCAATCTCCCTTTATTCAGTAGGAAGATGATTTCATCCTTGCCTTTCTCACCTTTAGCAGGGAAGTCACATATCAACCCAGCTGCTTTGGGAAGTTGAGTGTTGTTTTCTTTTTCTTTTTTTTATTTTGCTTTTTTATGAGTGTGAGGAGGCAGACTTGCATGTTCCCATGTCAATCCCACCTGGCTGCCTGGTGCCTTGGGCACAGCCTCCTCCTTGCAGCACCCAAGGCTCCAGAAGGTGCCCAAAACCTTCCTGGTGCCTTGGGAGCCTTAGAATTGCAGAAACATGGAAGAGTTTGTGTCAGAAGGGATCTTAGAGGTTATCTCTTTCCATTCCCCTGCCAAGGGCAGGGGATACCTTCCACTGTCCCATGTCTCTCCAAGCCCCATCCAGCCTGGCCTGGAACACTGCCAGGGATGGGGCAGCCACAGCTTCTCTGCGAAACCTGTGCCAGGGCTTCAGCACCCTCACAAGGAATAATTTCTTCCTGATATCCCATGTAAATGTACTCTGTGTCAGTTTGAAGCCATTCCCCTTGCCCTTTCACTACAGTTCCTGATGAAAAATCCTCCTCCAGCTTCCCTGTAGCCCCTTCAGCTACTGGAAGGTTCTGTGAGGTGTCCACACACCAACCTTCCCTTCTCCAGGCTGGACAGCCCAAACTTTACCAGCCTGTCTCCATAGTGAAGGTCCTCCACTGACTTCTGGACAGCTGTGGCATTCAGCCTCTTTTGGCAACAAAAAAACTGAAATTAAGATTATTTGGAGACCCTCACGGGGGGGA